AAGGTGTCTTTAATTTTTAAATTTTTTCTTTTATGATTTTAGAACTATAATTAGCATGGATCCAAAAGACCCTCTCTTGGTAGTTAACTGTGCTAAAATATTAATGACTCTTCCAATTATGGTCCGTGATTTTGATTTAGGAAAACAATATTTGACAAAAGCCTTTGAAATGGCACCAAATGATGCAACTGTTTCACAAGCAATTGAAAACACAGTTCAAGCTTATAAAAATATTGTAAGACATATTAAAAAATGTTATTCATTTAACGTTTTAATTAATTGTTCTTTTGTAAATATTAGTCAAAAAAACAGAAACCTTTAACAAATGTTGCTAAATCAAATCAACCCCCGATGAAGAATAAAACATCAAATTTAGGATCAGAAATAGGTGTTATTGTGAAAAAGCAAAGAAATGGAGAAGATCCTGTTCCTTACCTCACTAATTTGCTCTCTAAATATGATGGATTTGATAAATCAAAAATTATGGCTCAGCTTTGTTCTTACACAATATTATTTAAAAATGATCTAAGATCTGGTGTTGAACAGTTTATTAAGTTGATGGAACAATCAGAAATTGTCAGCAATGAAATAATTACAGTACGTATTTTTTTAAATATTACAATTTTGACTTGTATAATATTATTTTCTATCTTACTAACAAATTATCCATCTAATTTACTTTTTATTATTTRTAAATTTAGTTGGAATTAAATTATTAGTTATGCGTAAAATATATTAATATATTAATAATGGAAAACACCTTTTGGTGCATCAGACAAGGAGGTCAGAGGTAAAGATTAGGCATTCCTTTTCAAAATCATCAGCAAAAACGGTATATAAATTGCTTTTGGTTAAATTTTTTTGGAATTATTCAAAAATTAAATTTTCACCAAATAGTAAATACATATCCATATTAGCAATTTCTTAGACCATGATATAATTTTCAATAATTTCAAAAAAATTATTTATCTATGTTGAAAAAAAAAGTGTTRTACAGTATTTTATTTTCATTATAAACTCATACTACTAATTTACTAATATTCCAAAATTACATATTAGATGCTTTGAATACGAATTGTCAGGTAGATGTAATTTACACAGATTTCTCTAAGGCATTTGATAAATTAGACCATGACATTCTCGTAGCCAAATTACACAATTTAGGTTTTCGTAATCCTTTTCATTCTTGGTTAATCTCTTTTATTTCTGGAAGAAAACAATATGTTAAAGTAAAAAAAATTGAGTCACCAATATGCGATGCCACAGGGTTCTCACCTTGATCAGATCCCTTTTTATTCAATATATATGTAAACGATATAAAAGTTACAAATTCCCGCTTACTACTTTTTGCAGACGATGTAAAAATATTCCGAATAATTAAATCTCTTTGTGATGCAGACTTGCTCCAGAATGACCTTAATCTTCTCAATAATTGGTATATTCTTAATAAAMTGTACTTCAATGTTGATAAATGTAAAGTTATGACATATTCTAAAAAACGTATAACTCAAAATTATAATTACTATCTAAATGGCATTGAATTGGCTAGAGTTTCTCATATTAAAGACCTTGGTATTCATTTTGACTCTTCCTTATCATTCAATTATCACTATGCACATGTCATAAACAAGTCATCTTCAATGTTAGGTTTTGTATGTAGRATGTGTTCTGATTTCAATAATCCAATAGCCCTAAAATCACTGTATTGTGCATTTGTCCGCTCGGTACTTGAATATAATTCTGTCATTTGGTCTCCCTACATGTCTGGTCCCACTGAAGCTATTGAAGCGATTAAAAATCGCTTCTTAAGGTTCCTTGCTCTCAAATGCGGTGTCCAGCGCCAGCGACATACAT